TGTAGTTTTCTGCAAATAGGTCCTTTACTTCTTTGGTTAAGTTTATTCCTAGGTATCGTAATTTTTTTGGCGCAATGGTAAATGGGATTGTTTTTTCAGTTTCTCTTTCTGTGAGTTCATCATTGATGTACAAGAATGCCGTCGATTTCTTGACGTTAATTTTGTATCCTGCTACTCTGCCAAATTCATTTATTAAGTCTAATAGATTTTTGATGGAGTCCTTAGGGTTTTCTATGTACAATATCATGTCATCTGCAAATAATGACAGTTTCACTTCTTCCTTCCCAATTTGGATCCCTTTTATTTTTTCTTCCTGTCTGATTGCTGTGGCTAACACTTCCAGTACAATGTTAAATAAGAGTGGCGAAAGTGGACATCCCTGTCTTGTTCCTGTTCTTAATGGAAATGTTTTTAGTTTCTGTCCATTGAGTATGATGTTGGCTGTAGGTCTTTCATATATGGCCTTTATTATGTCGAGATATGATCCCTCTATTCCTACATTGCTGAGCGTTTTTATCAGAAATGGATGCTGGATTTTGTCGAATGCTTTTTCAGCATCTATTGATATGATCATGTGGTTTTTATTCTTCATTTTGTTGATGTGGTGTATCACGTTTATTGATTTGCGAATATTGTACCAGCCTTGCATCCCTGGAATGAATCCCACTTGGTCATGGTGAATAATTTTTTTGATGTACTTCTGGATTCGATTTGCTAATATTTTGTTCAGGATTTTGGCGTCTATGTTCATCAGGGATATTGGCCTGTAGTTTTCTTTCTTCGTAGTGTCTTTTTCTGGTTTTGGAATTAGAATTATGCTGGCCTCATAGAACGTGTTTGGAAGTCTTCCTTCTTCTTGAATTTTTTGAAATAGTTTGAGGAGAATGGGTGTTAGTTCTTTTTTGAATGTTCGGTAAAACTCCCCTGTGAAACCATCTGGGCCTGGGCTTTTGTTTGCTGGGAGAGTCTTGATTACCTCTTCAATTTCCTTGGTTGTTATTGGTCTGTTCAAGTTTTCTATCTCTTCCGGGAATAGTTTTGGGAGACTGTGTGTTTCTAGAAATTTGTCCATTTCGCTTAGATTTTCGAATTTGTTGCCATATAGTTGTTCATAGTAGTTGTTAACGATCTTTTGTATTTCCATGGTGTTGGTTGTTACTTCTCCTCTTTCATTTCTGATTTTGTGTATTTGGGTTCTCTCTCTTTGTTTCTTGGTGAGTCTAGCTAAGGGTCCGTCAATCTTGTTTATCTTTTCGAAAAACCAGCTCTTTGTTTCATTGATCCTTTGAATTGTTTTTTTGGTCTCTATGTCATTTATTTCTGCTCTGATCTTTACTATTTCCTTCCTTCTACTTGCTCTGGGGTTTTCTTTTTGTTTGCTTTCTAATTCTTTAAGTTGTGAGGTTAGACAGTCAATTAGAAATTTTTCTTGTTTTTTGAGGTAGGCCTGTAGTGCTATGAACTTCCCTCTCAGAACTGCTTTCACTGCATCCCATAGATTTTGTGTTGTTGTGTGTTCATTTTCATTGGTTTCCAGGAAGTTTTTAATTTCTTCCTTGACCCCGTCAGTGACCCAATCATTGTTTAATAACATGCTATTCAACCTCCATGTGTTGAAATGTCTTTGCATGTTCATGTTGCAATTGATTTCTAGTTTCATGCCATTGTGATCTGAGAAGATGCTTGATATGATTTCAATCTTCTTGAACTTGTAGAGATTTAGTTTGTGTCCTATCATGTGGTCTATCTTTGAGAATGTCCCATGTGCACTTGAGAAGAATGTGTATTCTGTAGTTTTGGGGTGTAATTCTCTGTAGATATCTATTAAATCCATTTGGTCTAGTGCTTCATTTAGAGTCTCTGTTTCCTTGCTAATTTTTTGCCTAGAGGATCTATCCAGTGCTGTCAACGGGGTGTTGAAGTCCCCTGCTATGATTGTATTGTTGTCGATTTCTCCTTGGAAGTCCTCCAGAAGATTTTTAATATATTTTGGTGCTCCTATATTGGGTGCATATATGTTTATCAAGGTTATATCTTCCTGTTGGATAGATCCTTTCAATATTATGTAGTGGCCGTCTTTGTCTCTAGTTATGGTCTTCATTTTGAAATCTATTTTATCAGATATGAGAATTGCTACCCCAGCTTTTTTTTGCTTTCCATTTGCTTGGAAAAATTTTTTCCCATCCCTTCACTTTCAACCTATGTGAGTCTTTTGTTGAGAGGTGGGTCTCTTGTAGACAACATATAGATGAGTCATGCTTTCTTATCCAATCAGCTACTCTGTGTCTCTTTATGGGAGCATTCAATCCATTAACGTTTAAGGTGATTATTGATATGTACTTATTTATTGCCATTTTTGTTTAGTGTGGTTCTATTTTTCTTCCCATTTCTACTGCTAATTACAGCAGTCCTTTTAACATTTCTTGCAGTGCTGGTTTGGTGCTAATGTATTCCCTTAGCCTTTTTTTGTCTGGGAAGCTCTTTATTTGATCTTCTATTTTGAATGATAGCCTTGCTGGGTAGAGTAGTCTTGGATTCAGATTCTTGTTTTTCATGACTTTGATTACTTCATGCCATTCTCTTCTGGCCTGTAGTGTTTCTTGTGAGAAGTCAGCTGAGAGCCTTATGGGGTTCCCTTTGTAGGTAACCTGTTGCTTATCTCTTGCTGCTTTTAGGATTCTCTCTTTGTCTTTAATTTGTGGCATTTTAATTACTATGTGTCTTGGTGTGGGCCTGTTTGGGTTCTTCTTACTTGGGACTCTCTGTGCTTCTTGAACTTGAATGCCTTCTTCCTTCACCAAATTAGGGAAGTTTTCTCTCACTATGTTTTTGAATATATTCTCTATCCCTTGCTCATTTTCTTCTTCTTCGGGGACTCCTATGATGCGAATATTATTACGTTTCCAGTTGTCCCATAGTTCTCTTAAGCTATCTTCCTGTTTTTTAATAGTTTTTTCCTTTTGTTTTTTTGATTGGTTGATTTTTTCTACCCTGTCTTCTAATTCACTGATCCGGTCCTCAGCTTCCCCTACTCTGCTTTTTAAACCTTCCAATGTGTTTTTCATTTCTGATATGTCATTTTTTATCTCTTCTTGTTGGTTTTTAATTTCCAATTGGCTTATTTTCAGTGTCTCTATGTCCTTACTCATGCTGTTCAGCTTCCTCATGATCATGGCTCTGAATTCTAGCTCTGTTAACATGCCTAATTGCTCTGCATTGATCTCATCTTCGTTTGAGGTCTCTTGTTCTTTCATTTGGCTTCTGTTTCTGTGTTTCACCATTTTGGCTATCACTGTGGGCTTTGGAGCCTGTCAAGTTCTCCCTGTGGGTGTTGGTGTTCTGCTGTTTGTGGCTCCCTCTCCTGTGTTTAGATGAGCGAGGGAAGACCCACGTTGAACACCACTGTCAAGTCTTACTTTCCTGTTTAAAGTTGCCAGCCCAGGAAACGTACTGTTATCCTCTAGTTTTTTGCCTGGAGGCTAGCAGTCTAGGTTAATTGATGAGTTTTGGGTTGTCCATTGATTGAAAAACTCCCTCTGGTGCTCAGCCAAGGGGCTTTCACGAGGGCGGGGCAGATGCTGGTTGTTAGTGAGCCTCAATTAGCACTTCAATGGCCCACAGGGTGGGGTTGGATCTCCGAGGGAGGGGCTGCTGCCTCTCCTCAGAGCCCTGGGAAGGAGCAATGTGGCCACCGTCCTGAGTGGCTGCACTCAGCCAAAGCTCTGAGTGCCCTCCAAACCCCGAGTGTCCCGACACAGTTCCAGTCCAGTCCGCCCTCCCTCCGCCGGAGCCCAAGGTGAGTGGCTGTGGCTGTTTCAGCCTCTGTCCCGGCTCTGCGCTGTGGGGCCGCCTGGGAGTGTGACCCGAGGGCGCCGCTCCCAGCTGAGGCCGCTGCCAAGCTGCCGACTGTGGGCTCCCAACCCCGTCTCGCGCCTTCGCAAGCCTACCGGGATTGAGTCGGTGTCCCTCGTTGTATGGTCCTCGCAAGCTGCTTTTCTGTTGGTTTTTCCCGTCGATTTGTCTGTGTTATAGTTGTAATTCCAGTTTGGTTCTGGGAGACGGTCTGTGTAGCTCCGTTCACTCCGCCGCCATTTTTTGGTTCTAAGATATTCTTTGTACTTTCACTTTGTACAGTGATACCTCGGTTCTCGAACGCCTCGGATTTCGACCAAATCGGTATTCGACCAGGAGATTCGAGAACCTTTTGTCTTGGAATCCGAACAAATATTTGGAACTCGAACTTCCGAGATGAGCCAAGTTGAGCCGAACGGCGTTCATTCGGCCCAGCGCGCCTTGCTCGCGTCATCAGCGTGAGTGCAGAGAGAGAGTCACGCTTTGTGGAGAGAGTCACGCTTTGTGGAGTCACGCTTTACACTGAATTTAACCCTTAGACATACTGTACACTTTTATTTCTTGTTGAGACTTATGTTTTTCTATATATTATATACAAATTAGGCCAGTAAATAGGCATTTTCTGGGGCTTGGAACGAATTAATCCAGTTTCCATTATTTCCTATTGGGTTTCATTGCTTCGGTTCTCGAACAATTTGGTTCTCGACCGTCCTCCTGGAACGAATTATGTTCGAGAACCGAGGTATCACTGTACTTTCACATCCAGAGATGAAGAGCAGGTGCCTGGCACATAGTCAGCAGTAAAGATGTGCACTGCGTCACTGAGACAGTGACTAAAGCCAGCTGAAAATAAACTATACACTTTCTCCCTAAGTTATTTACATAAATGGACACGACTTAATTTTTTCACTGGAATTGGACACACATACAGTTAATATTTCACATTTATGTTTTGTTGACCTCATCTAAGGTGTCAAGAGGTTTTTAAGAGGTAAAAAAAAATCATTAGTATATGTTTTTCTCCACAGCCAAGGAAGCAGTAGTGTTATGAATTGTCAACTATCATATTTATTTAATGTATCACTATTTTTGGAATCAATTTGTAATATAAATCATTTTAAATTAGGAAATAATACCCAAGTACTTACATGTAGCACTAGTTTACTCTTTGCAATTACTTCCTCGAAAGTCTCATCTGTTTCCTCTTTCCACAAGCTAATGAAAGTATTAATTTCTTGAGCTATTGAAGGATCAGGACTCCCATCACACCGAATGTAATGTTCCCACTGTAGAATAAAAATGTTTGAAGGTTCGCACTGATGAAATTCAACCAGAGATTAAATTACTTCTTGTTTAAGTTCCCATAACCTATTTTACCCAAGTTAGGCTAAACACATATAATGACTTTCAGCAGTTATTTGAGAGTTACCTCTACATAACCAAATTCCTCTTCAGCAAAATAATTTGTAAGCCTCAATAATTCAAATAAATACATATTTATTGCCATATTTTAATTTTGAAAATAGTATGAGAGTTGGTTTTGTTTTGCTTTCCTCTCTAGTCATATAGTTCCTATTACAAAAGCCAAGACTTGGGCTAATTTCTACTTCTCAGATTATCACTAATCGTTAATAACCATTAGCATTTTAGTACTAGCCTTTTCATTCATTTTGTAGTCTATGCAAATTCTACATTTGCAATCATATTGTACTTAAAACATTTTGCTTTAAATTGTATCATAATCATCTTTTGTCATATTATTAAAGTTTTTCCTTTTTCTCTTGATAACTACCTATAATGTTTCTAAAGTTACGCTGTTTTGGGTAACACTAGATTGTCTTAAATCCAAAGTTTCCATTTTTTAATTTAGGATAATTTCCTCAGTAAAGATTCCCAAAGTTAAATGCTAAAGGTTATAAATGTTTTAAGAATCTTACTATTGACAAATAGTTTTTTGCAAAGCTACATGAATTTACTTCGCTACAAGCAATCTGTCAGATTAGAGATTTTTTAATAGACAAATTTAAAGTTTCTTGGAACTGAAAAAGGATTTCGGACTACAACTCCCTCTTGTGGTACAACAGTACTAGCTGAAAAAAAAAGATTTTACCTGAGTAAGCAATCTCTGATCTCGTTTCAATTTCTCTGCTTCAGGAAAACACGCCTCTAATAAATAAAGTTCTTCAAGTTCTTCATTTTTCCTTTCCAGATCCTGTTGCATGGGGATACAATGACTTGTTCTTTAATCTCAGCTTTGTGTTTCACAAGTAGCATTAAAAATTTACTTGGCAAAGTATTTCCTTTCAGAATGAATATTAAAATTTGTTTTACATGTAACTGATATTTCTAACAGATTTCACCTAAAACAGTGGTTTGCAAAGTGTGCTTTGCAGACTGCTGGTGTATCCCAAGGCTCTTTTGGGATCTGTGAAGTCAAATATATTTTCACAATAATACTAAGACTTTATTTGCCTTTCTCACAACGTACACATTTGCACTGATGGTGCAAGATGGTGTAACATGTCAGGCAACTCAGTGTAAATCAAGGCACAAACTGTACTAGTGGTTATATTCTTCAAGGTGGAGGGCAGTAAACGTAAGAATGACCTGATGAAGAAGTAAAAATGATTAATTTTATTAAATGTCAACCTTTAAGTATATGTGTTTTTAATATATTATGCAATAAAATGGGAAATATGCATGAAGGATGTCTGCTGCATATTAACAGACAATGTGTCTTGAGAAATAAACGCTTGTGGAGTTATTTGAGTATCTTGGCAGACATTCTTTCAAAAATGAATGAACTGAACATGTCACTTCCAAAAGACAATTTAAAGTATTTCTTGCAATGATAAAATTCAATATTTCAAATAAATTTCAAATTTTAGAAAACTTGTATCTACCACTATGAGCTTGAGAATTTTGCAATCCTTAAAAACTTTTTCTGATTTGATTGGAGATGATATTAATGTTTGTGATTTTTTTATATATATATAATGAATAAGAGATGTGTCAACATTTGCCCTGGCTGGGTGGTTCAGTTAGTTGGAGAGTTGTCCTGTACACCAGATTCCCAGTCTGGGCATACACCTAGGTCGCAGGTTCATTCCTGGTCAGGGCATGTATGGAGACAGTTGATCTATGTTTCTTTTTCACATTGATGTTTCACTCTCTCTCTCAAATCGATAAACATATCCTTGGGTGAGGATTAAAATAATAAATAAATAAATAAATAAATAAATAAATAAATAAATGTCAAACTTTGGAAGCAAATAATTCAGTGAACCTAATTTTCCCAAGCAACCAATATATGATACAACAGAATCATGCATGCATACAAAATGTATTCACAGTGTAAGATAGATCAATATTTTAGTGTAATAGAGTATGAAAAGTTCATTAATATGGTCAGATTTCACATTAAGATACTACCACTTACTGATTTTTTTCATACAGTGATAAAAAATATGCACAATTATCTGAAAGGCTAATACAATATTCCTCCTTTTTTCAACTATATATCTGTGTGAGACCAGATTTTTTTCATATATTTCAATCAAAAATACACATTGTAACAGAACACTGAAGTAGATATGAGAATCCTGTAGATATGTCTTCTTTAAGTCATACATTAAACAGATTTAAAAATATAAGCAATACCCCTCATTTCCCTAGTTAAAAAAATATATAATGTGTGGTAATAGATGTTAACTAGACTTAATGTGATGATTAATTCACAATATATACAAATATTAAGTCATTATGTTATACACCTGAAACTGATCTCAACTATAGATAAATAATAAATAATGTATATATGTAATAATATATAGCTGTTTTATTAAAATATGTTAATGTGTATTTACTTATTTTTAATGTTTTCATTGACTTTAGAGAAAGGAAGGGGGGGAGAAAGAGAGAGAGAGAGAGACATCGATTGATTGCCTCCGGTACACACCCAACCAGGGACCAAACCCACAACTTGGGCATGTACACTGACAGGGAATCAAACCAGCAACCTTTTGGTGCACAGGACAAGCTCAATCAACTGAGCCACACCGGCCAGGGCTGTATATACTTATTTTTATTAATGTTTATTTTTAACAACATTTAAGTCTATTAATATAATGTTTTTAAATTTCTCGGTTTTAATTTCTACAATGGTAAATATTGATAGATATAGCCCACATAAACAACAATTTCTTGGGGGGAGGTCTTTAATTTTTAAGAGTAATGAGGTTTTCTTCCTGAGATCAAAATATTTCAGAACCACTGATCAGAAAAATTCTGGTGAAAAAGAGAAGTGAAACTAAAAACGCAGAGGTAGAATTTGAATTCTTTTTCCTCTTTTGGACCTTGTTTAATGATCTATAAAACAGATCGAGACTAATAACTTAATGTTTACAAGCACGGGCTCAAATGCAAGAGTACTTATGTCCAGGTCCTGGCTCTGACCTAGCGTGATTTCTCTGTTCCTCAATTTCCTTAGCTGTGAAATATAAATGATCATATCATTAACTTCATGGTAGGATCAAATGAGTTAAGCCCGTTCATACAGGCCTAAATATTACTGGTACCTTCTGGAGGAGAATGACATTAAATGGCCCAACAGATCTGATAGCCACATAGCTTGTCTCCACTAATAACATCATTAATGTTTATTTACTTTTGCTTCAAGTTGCAGCCACTTTTCTTTCTCAATCCGTTCTATTTCAAGCCTTTCCATTTCTTCTTTTTCATATTTCAGACGGGCTTCCTCTAAAGAACCAAAAAAAAAAAAAAAAAACCACACATATATTTTTCCCTCCATGATAAACAATCTATTTTTAAGCCCTTAAAGTTACTTCAAATATTTGCAAGATGTAATGGTAGTGATATAGAAGTCACATCTTTATTATGTGGTAGAAATAAGACAAATGCTAGATTTCTTTCATAGAAGTAACATGATGAAATTTTCTGGCCCCCCAAAATAGGCCCATAATGATATTTCTCTTCTCTAAAAAGTTTATAACAACCAATAATGATTATAGCCAATAAAAAAAAGGAAAGCTCAATCATGGGTAATTAAGGAGAAGTAACATCTTCAGAAGATTTCTATAATCTTGTGATATCTACATCATCAAAGCAATAAACTTAATCTTCTCTTGCTTTAACTATTAAAAGGAAAATATGATACATATGTTAAAGAATATGAGTTTAACCCAATATAATAAAACATTCTCCAAGATCTAGATCCTGAGGTTCTATTCTTATCATGGGTCACCTGAAAAGGATTTATACAATTATACATAAATAATCAACATGGAACCTGAAGACAGACTTTTAAAACCTGAATCTTAATCCATAGACGTTCTTAATGTTAAAAGCTAAAACCTCTTGAAATATTCAGATTTTTAAAGTAATTTTTGGTGCTTCTAAATGACCAATGTTTTTATTAATTTTAATAGACATGTTTAACAAATGAAAGCCCTCTTTAAATATGGCAAATAAATATTATTAAACAATAAGAATCTAGGCAACTATGTGTATTACTTGCTAGTATGTATTTCCCATATTTAATGAATAATATGAGTTTCAGAATTCTCACTCACAGTCAGCACCAGTGCGCCTATTTCAACAGTAAATATAAATACTTCAAGTAGAGTCGCCAGAATTAGCAAATAAAAATAAAGGATGCTCAGTTGAATTTGAATTCCAGATAATAAACTTTTTTTGTTTGTTTGTTTAGGTATGTCCCTAATATTGTATGGGGCAAAGTATAGCAAGTTATTCATTGTTTACCTAAAATTCAAATTTAACTGGGCATCCTGCATTTTATCTGGTAACTACTTTAAGATATATCTGAAAGTGACTTATGTGTACTATCAAATTTCTGGGTATTCTTTAAATAGCAGGTATCTATTATAAAAAATTAAATTTGAAAAATTAAAGAATTTTAAAAATGCTCTTAAAATATATTGACTGGATTATAGAAATAACAACATATGGTTGGTATAACCTACATATGAAAATAGCATCACTGTGTATTTTGTACCTTCCTCTTTTTGTCGTCTCTCCTCCTCCTCTTGTAGCTGCTTCAATCGTTCAGCTTTGCTGATTTTCTTCTTCTTATTGGCAGACTTAACAAAGACCACAACATTTTTTTAAGAAAAGGCTATTAACATACACCTAAATAGCTTAAAAATACATATCCTTTACACAGTAATTATAAAAAACATTTTGCTCCCACGAATCCAGTCTTTCACTCACTCAAAGAAGACTGACTATTATGTGCCAAACCTTGACTCAGGGCCTTATGGACAAAGTATAGAAAACAAAAAAGAAAAATAAGCATATAAATCATTCAACAGCAAAAGTAATAGTGACAAGTATGCACAATTTAAGTAACTCTCATTCTCAGTTTTCACATCTTTAAAATGGTACTAAATAGAACTTCATTTCATCATTAAAAGAAAATATATGTAAAAACAATGTTAATACTGCAATATGACATCCAGAGAATTATTTTGCAAGTTTGAAGGAAGGAGAGATTATTCTCAAGAGCTGGGATTAAGGGAAATTTTATAGAGCAGATAGTATTTAAGTTTGTGCCCCCCAAATTTTAACATTCAGATATTAGGGGAAGATATCCCAAGAAGAGTGAAATGCAGGCATCAGATGTGAAGTTCAGTGGGCCCTGGAAGACCCCAAGAAGAGGTGATGGGGAAATGAGAATGAAAACGACGACAAGAGCCTATGCTACAGAATGTGGACATTATCCTAAAAGAAATGGAAGACCCTTCAAAGTTTTGAAAGGAGCTATGGCTATTAAGAATATAAGTTTGAAAACTAACTTGGTATTAGGGGGGAAAATGATTATAAAGAGGATACCATTTGGGTTACTATTAACAAGAGTTAACTACAGTCATGACCCGAAATGCAGATAGAAGCATAGATCCAATACATATTTTATAAACTAACTTATTTGATAAGATTAAATTAGAGGCAAGGAGAGGAAGGAGTCAGAGAAGAGTTAAAAAAGAAGAATGGTAGTCCAGAAGAAGTACATCTGTAAGAGAAACTGTTTAAAGGAGTTTAAATATAATTAGGATGAAGTGCTGGTGGGGCATCCAGGAAATGCTGTAGGCATTAAGATTGGAAAAATGAGTTTTGGCAAAGAGATCAGGGCCACAGAGTACAGATCTGAAAACTATCTTGGTGATAACCACCCACTCTCCAATTTCCCTAAGGGAAGAGTATATAAAGAGAAACCATCATCCAAATTTAAGAATCAAGAGTGATTGATCCTTGGGATATTTGCTCTTGGATGACCATCTTCAACTTTTGGCTCACTTACTGCAGGAAGGTCCATTGGAATCGCCAATCCTTTAGCCTTTCTACTTCCTTCACTGTCTGTCAACCCCCCTCATACCAACATTTCTTTCTTACCCAGGTTAGATTCACAGTTAGTTCATCACTGTAACTACTAACATGTATCTTCACCTTCCCTATTTTCCTCTCCCTCTTAGAAACTCGGCTGGCAAATTCCTAGCTCTAGTAAAATTCAGCTCCCCATTTATTCTTTGCTAGCAACGTGAGCAGCTGAACCTTGCCAGAGAAAAAAATACATGGGCTCAAATTTATGAGCAAACATTTTAAATAGGTTCTAAGCACTATCCAGTATTCTTACTGCTATTTCATTGTCCTCATTCTTCAAACTTCCGATATCCTCTGCTCTTTCCTACTCTCAGTTGTTGACCTTTCCTCTTATATTACTGGAAACTTTGAGAAGAAAACAATCTCTGTATACAGCAAATCTTAGAAACCACCGATATCTCTGTCGCCTTCCTTCCCATTACAGTGGATGAACTAGTTGTTTGTACTTTCCACTATTTAAGGCTGAACACGCCTTATCCCTTATTTCCTATTTAAGACCGGACTGCTATAACACCTTTGGTTATTCATACATTTCTCCCTTCCTAGATTTCACATCCCTCTCCATCATCGGCTCTAATTCTGTTATTCTTTATATCAGACCGCCTGTAGGGAGTTGTCCCCTGCTTTCATTTCCCCATTTTCTGCATGGCCCACTCCCTTAAAATCTCTTGTCAAGGACCCTTAAAGACGGCCATGTTTCCGAGGCTGGTCGTCAATTTTCAGCCTTCATTGTACTCATCTGTCATCATTATTTTACAAAGTTTTCCTCCTCCTTCTAGAAGTATTTTCTTCTTTTGGCCTTTAGGTTACTACTGATTTTGCTTCTTCTCTCACGGGTCCCTCCTTCTCAGACTTTTTTTTTTTGGTGTGTGATTTCTCTTCCTCAGCTGTAGTTGATCAGTAACTTTCAAAATTATTTGTTCATATATTTCCTAAAATAATTTGTAAAAACCACATGCCTCTTCACATATTTTTAAGTTGGTATTGAAAACTTTTCACTACAAGCTTAAATAGCTGCAAATGTTTCCAATATGTGACATAAAATAAAACTTTTACATCACTCTTTCAAATATGTCTATCACTACTTAAACTATATCCAGTGGAATCTACATACCATGGTGATTTAATGGCCAATATTATTAATTTTTTAAAAATATGAACAAGCTTTTCTTTAATATAAATTTTAATCATTTTTCTCCTTAAACTGATATTTCCATTCTACTGCCCCCACAGAATCTTATCCTAATGGAACATACTTGAAAAACTTTTGTTGATCTTCCTATCATATGTATCTATTACAAAAATGGGTATGAAAATTTTAAAAATTTATTCCCTGGTCTCTAAGTAATAAAAATGTTGCTCTGGACTGAGTTAATAATAATTTTTTTCAGTATACAACTGAACAAATTAACATATTTTATTACAAATTTTGATAAATAATAACATGAGAAGTAAAATTTTACTGGATATATATCTCTTGATGAGATGGTTGGGTGTTTTCTTTTTCCTGAAAAAAGGATTCAGACAAGTTTAATTTTAATTTTTACGAATATAAGAAATTAAAAATCTGGTTTATATTTAAAAGCCAATGGAGATGGGAATAGGTTTCTTAGAGCTATATAGTTAGTTCTTTGAATTCTTTCTACATCACATGCCAAAAATCACATTACTCTACTAAAATAATTACCCCTAGAGATGATCACTAAAGTTTGAGGGCGTGGGGGAGAGAGATAAACCACAGAACTTATATGCATGAATGCATGAACAATGGACATGGACAACAAAGCTGGGGATGGGGGGGAGGGGAATCAGTGGGGGGAAAAGGAGAAACATCTGTAACAAAAATAAATGAATTAATTTTTAAAAAAAAAGTTTTATTACATATGTGTTTCTAAACAATATAGTTTGCTTTATTTTTGAACTTTACATAAGTCCATTTATCTATACTTTATGTATATGATGGTAATTTACTTTTCTTACTGTAGTAAAGTCTAACAAAATTTACCATTTTAACCATTTATAAGTGTGCCGGTCAGTGACATCAAGTACATTCATGTTGTTGTATAATCATCACCATCGCCCATCTCCAGAACTTTTTCATCATCCCAAGCTGAAACTCTGTCTGCATTGAACATTAACCCGGCAAACCCATCCCCTTTCAACCACCATTCTATTTTCTCTGAATTTGACTACTCCAGATATTTCATAAAAGTAGAATAATACAATACTTATCCTTGTGTAATATTTACTTTTTAGATACACATTATGGTTTTAAGGTTTATCCATGTTAATACATATAGTTATAGATATATATTTTCACTGCTGAATAGTAACTCAGTTTATTTATCCACCCTCCTACTGAAAGACATTGGATGGTTTCTAGTTACCATCATGAATAACATTGCTATAAAGTATATGTATCCTGGTGTCCATTTGAGAGAGTTTCTCTACAGTGAATATCTCAGAGTTAATGTGGTACACGTGTATTTTTAACATGTTGAAATTGAACTTTCCAAAGTAATTATTCCAATTTATACCCCAATGATTATCCAAATCAATATTTGTTGATCTCAGCACTTTTGCTTCTCTGGCAGGAACTTTTGTCAGGCCTAACATGTAACAGGCATTTGAGACATATCAGTAAACAGACAAACAAAAATCTTTGCACTTATGAGTTATATACAAATGGGAAAAGAAAGATAAAAACAATAAGGAAAATTTAGAAATAAATGATAAAATATTTTAAAGGGTGAAAAGTGCTATGGAGAAAAGCGAGGGGACCCCAGGGGTAGTTGGGGAAGGAATTAATTACAATTTTAAATAGAATGGATAGAGTGGGCCTCGTTGAGTGGGTAACATTTGAATAAAGACTTGAAGGATAGGAGGTTATTGATCCTCCCTATTTTATGTTTTATATTTGATTTATTTTTGTATTTGTCTTTATTTTTCCTTTCTTCTCCTTACTTTTATTATTCTTTTTAGTTCTTAAGAAGGATGCTCAGTTCATTAACCTTTTTTAGTCTTTTTTCTTCTTCTAGCATTAGTCTTTAGGACTACACATTTCCCTCTAAGTACCGATTTTAGACATATTACAAAAATTTTGAAGTATTTCCTTATCGTTGTTATAAATACTTTCTGAATTTCTTTATATTACTTACTGACCCACTTTAGAATGTTTAAAATTATCAGCATATTGTATCTTCCACTTTATAACTGAAATCTTTGAATTTTTTTTTCTTTTTTGAGTTTCATGGTAAGATTTATTTGGGTGGAAATAGAAGGATGCCCCCAGGTTCCCAAAGTCTCATCTCCTTCTATCCTGCTGTGAAAAAAGTTGAGCATCATTTTTGTCAGACCCAGAAATAGGGCCAGTGTCCAGACATTTTGCACCATTGGTTCAGTCCATATTACAGCTTAATCTAGTCCAGTGTTTGTCCGGATAGCTTAGGCTGCTCTTCCGGCTGCACTGTGGCTGGCCTGTGCCCAGGACCTCGCTGTCTGCCCCAGGCCCCTGGTGGCTGCTAGAGTCACATGGCTGCTATGAGGAGAGGACATGTGAGCACATGGGCAAGCACCTGTTCCAAGATCAGAGAGAGTGCTTTGTGTTCTTAATCCTCTCCAGAGGACATGCTTAGGGAGGGGTAATGGGGGGGGGCATCCATGCGTTACCTTCTGTATTCGCCCAACCATTGAGGGAACCCACAACCCAAGCATG